CTACGCGGCCGAGCACGAGGCCGTCACCGGGAGCTCTCGGGGCAGTTTCGGCCTGAAGAGTACTCTCAGAGCTCGTGTGGGTTTGCTTTGGCCTGTCCGGCCGAAGGGGACTCACGGGCACTGGTGTAACATTCCCACGAGGGGGTTAGGCCCCCCACTCTGACCCAAGTCCAGTGGGAACTGAGGAATACAGCTTTGTTTACACAGACCTTCTCCCTATACTCCCCTCCCCAGCATGCAGTCTTTTAAAAAAATATCCAAAATGAGTTGATTTGGAGAGTGGTTCACATGATTTTTACTGCCTATTTTGTTGAAAAAAAAAATTTTTTTTTGTAGAGGTTTTTGCCATAGGGCATGTGTGCTCGCCAGAAAGACAGAGACAGAAAGTGAGAAATCACACCCAGGGGGGATGGCCACGTTGCATTGGCCCCAATCCCGCCTCCTCCATTCTCCTCTTGGGATCTTGGGCACGCACGCACACGCGCCTGGCATGAGTTTAAGTCACCGGGTCCGGGACTCAAACCGTGGTCGACTACATGGGAGGCCAGGGACATAGCCATTACACTAACTGCTGGTCCCTTTTGTTGAAAATTTTACCTTAAGCTTGAAAGTATTTTTTTTTTTTTTGCCTTTTCATAAAATTCTGGAGAAAAACTGCATTACCCTTGTTTAAAAAAAAAAAAAAAAAAAACACTGCTTCACTTTACACTTGATAATGAGGCCACAGTTACCTTTCAGTGAAATGAGACCGTCTAAACCTTTTATGAGTGCATCTGTTTTACATACTTCACATATAAAGATAACGAAGGTTAGACGGTGATTTTGTATCTGGAGACTAAGTGACTTTGGGGCAGATGTGTCAGACTTGTGAGGGCCCCCAGCGACCAGAGGGCCACACTGCCCGGACTGAGCAGTCCACCACTGTGGCCAGTCACAGCCCGACCACCTCCCTGAGGGGACACCCCCACCCTCTCCAGCTGGCACTCTGAGCTAGGCCTCGACTTCTGAGCGGGGTTTTAGGTTTATGGACGTGTGTTCTTCCACACAGAACTCCCTACCGGACTCTGACGGGGAAAGCTGCAGCGTGTGTGAACGCGGGTGCGTGCAAGGACGGCAAGTGGAAAAAGGCTTCCCGAGCGCCCCCTGCTTTCAAACTGCAGTGCGCGTAGGCTCAATTACCCCTTAAATTAAACCACTGCTGTGGGAAATGAAGGTGAAATAAACAGGCCACAAGAAAGTGAGACGGGCTGTGGGCAGGAGAGGACCCCACACAGTAGCCATAAAATCACAAATTGAACACTCCCAAAAAAGTAAAGATGACTTTAAAACCAACTGAAGAGAGAAGTCACCAAGCCAAACTCAGCAGCTATCCGCCTGAACCGCAGACGGATTATCCAGGGACTCTAGCACTGGCGGGTCCTGCCCCCTCCCCGATGGACGGCGCTGAACCCCGCGGCTTCTCCGGGGCCGTCACGTGGGCAGCAAAGCAGGGTGCGCAGCAGGAGGCATGTGCTTTTTCAAGTCTTTTTCTTTTCTCTGCAGAGGGGCGATTATTCCTGGATAAGGCAAGATAATTGTGGTCACAAGAGAAGCAGCCAAACGCAGACCTGCTGAGCTAACAGCGCTCTCAGTCCGTCTTCCCCAGCTTTGCGATCAGCTCATCACAGATTTTTGTCAGTTCTTCGATTTCTTGGTTCTGAAAGACAAATGACATGACATTGAGACTGCGCGGGCCACTCCGTGCTCTGAGACAAAGGCGATCACAGCTACACGGGCCCAGGCCGGCTAGGTCCTACCCCGACACCCGGTCCAGTGATGCGCAACTCGCCTACATCAGAGATCCTTCACAGAAAGGAAGGCTGTAAACCTGCCCCCAGAAAATGCTCGCGACACAAAATTACGCTGAAGTTGGGGGCAGGGGTCCATGAACTTCCCAGCTCCCAGGTTTCCCTGTAGTCACAGGAACTGCCCGGGGCACGTGTTAAACAGGGTCTCACTCAAGCCATCAGCCTCTGCAGGGCTTGGGAACACAAGGAGCCCAGGGAACACCTTCCTGGAGGCTCCCAGACCCCGTGACACAGGCCCCTGCTCGAAGTGAGCAGACCTCACCACACATTGTCAGACGTCACAGGCCTGAGCAAGTAACCGCAGATGCGGAAAAGCAATGTTGGGGACACAGGACAGAGAAGGCGAGAATGCTGAGCAGTGAGAAGCAAGGCCGCCCTCCAGTGACTTCTCGGCTCTGCAGAGCTTCTCGACACAGCCTTGCTGCTGTTTGGGGTAGGTAAGCCTGTCGTGCCCGGTGGGATGCCAGCAGCCTTCCTGGCCTCTGCCGCCAGGTGCCAGCAGCCTTCCTGGCCTCTGCCACCAGGTGCCAGCAGCATCTCTAGCCATGACAACCCAGTCTACTCCAGCTGGTGCCCAGTGTCCCCAGAGGGCAAAACTGCCCCCAAGTGAGAACCAGTGACCTACAGCAATGATGGGGGACGGTGGCATGAGACACCGCATGAAAAAAGGAGAGAGAAAAGCAGCTTCAAGACTCCAGCTAAGAAGCGTGTGGCCCGGCGAACCTCAGTTAAACGCAGCTTCCACTCCGCACCCAGGCTATGGAGGGTTCTCACACGCTATGCCTGGAAGTGCCACAGCCTGACCGGAATGGGTTTGCAAAGGAGCTAACTGATGCATCCTGGCTAGGGTCACTCCAGGCTAAGTACAGCAAGGACATAAGAGGGCTGAGGAGGGAAGGCAAGCGTCTGGGTGGCCCAGGCCGGGCCCCTTCCTTACCTTCTGCTGCAGGGCCCTTTCCAGGGACTCCACCTTCATCTGCTCTTTCCGGAGCCCAGCGTGGAGGGCTGCACTCTCAGCCTTGGCTTTAGTCCGAACCTGAGCGATCTCTTCGTTGGCTCTGTTGGCGGAATAGAGACAGCAAGTGCTTAGACACCAGTGACGAGTACCCTGGCGGTGGGACACTGACAACTGCCACCCGGGAGACCGAAGGGCTGACTGCGAGGTAAGACAGAGAACAGGAATCGGCGACCTACGTAATTCAGTTGGGATTCACAGGAAGAAAGTCGACACAGACTGCCCGAGAAACTTCCATGGCACAAACCAACGGCAGAGCCAACCTCAAGGGCCACAGTGTCGCTAGGAAATGAAGTCATACAGCACTTGCTACAACAATCTTAGATGTTTTTAAAACCCAGTGGAGTGGAGCATTTGAGCATTATCAATCCAGGTCAGAACAGAGACCGCGGGCCTCTGTGAGACAGACGTAAGGGTAATTTTTTAATGAGATGCGAAGGAAATCTTAGAAAACCCAATGTCTGTTGATAAACCCCAGTTAACGAGTGAAAGGGTGCTAAAGCCTCACTAGGGCAGGAAGCCTGGAAATGAAGGACAAACTTTATAAACGTATTGAACTGGCGAGACACAACGAGGACGGCCTGTCCTGTGTGAGCTGAGACGCAAGCTCGCGTCCCCACGGGGGTGACGAGCACTGGCACTGCAGTGGAGGGCCATGTGACAGTGACGAGGACGGCTACAGGGGTGTGCCCGCCACTAGCAAGTCCCCACGTGACGCCACGGCGTGTGCACGGGGTGTTGCCTGCACCTTCTTTGCGATGGAGAATGCTAGGAACTGGGGATGAATGTCCAAATGAAGGCTGGAGTGCCGCAGCCCAGCGGAAAGAACTAGAGTGGGAAAGGGAAAAGGGGGACTTAGATGTTTTCTCTAACAGGAGGAAGGACAGCAGCCTGTGCCGTCCACATAGCCCAACGCGGCCTTCGCGTGGCTCCTCAGGAAACCCTGCAGGGCACGGGTGAGTGACGGGGGGCTTGCACGGGAGGCCCAGGTTCAGGCCCTGGACCAGTATGCACAGTCCAGGTGCCATAGCGTGTCTGGAATCCGAGCCAACAGGAGGCGAGAGTGCAGGGCTGCCACAGCAAGACCCTGCGAGAAAGACCCTCGCTCACTCTCGGTTTCTCTCCTCCTATGCTTGCTATACTCTCCCTCGCTTAAAAACAAAAATCAAGCTGTAAAAGCACTAGAAGAGAATATTTTCTACGCAGTATGGGGAAGACTTTTCTGACTATACTTTTCCAGAAGCTGTGAAAGAAATGAATGACAAATTGTATTACATTAAAAAAAAAACCCTGCATATTTAAAAAACACCACAGGCAGATTCAGAAAATAAAAGGACACATGGAAAAATTACTTACAACTCATTATCACAAAAAGGCTAGTGTCCCTAATATTCAAACTTATTAAATGACGAGAGAAAATGAGCAAAGAGGGAACCAGCAGTTAGCGTAATGGCTATGTCGCTGGACTCCCACGTAGTCGACCGTGGTTCGTGTCCCGGACCCGGTGGCTTAAAACTCACGCTGGGCGCGTGTGCGTGCGTGCCCAAGATTCTGAGAGGAGAATGGAGGAGAAGGGATTGCGGCGTGACCATCCTCCCCCGGAGGTGATTTCTCGCTTTCTGTTTCTATGTCTCTGTCGTTCTGGCGAGCACACGCGCCCTATGGCAAAAACCTCTGCCAAAAAAAAAAAAAAAGAGAACGAGCAAAGAATAAGGTCGTCCCAGTACAGCAAATACAGGAAGAGATGGCTACTGGAACATTCAGTTTCACTTCCACAAGGAAATGTCAAAAAATTCGTACAAAATGGAATTAAAGCATGAATTTATTTTAGTGAATAGAAATTTTGAAATCCATGTATAGATTTTTTTATAATATACATTTTCTATGAATTTTTAAAAGAGCCTTTGTAAATATGAATCAACAGTACTTTGAATAAAGCAAAAGCTTTGTTACTTGGCAAAAAAAAAAAATAAATACATAAAATAAAATCCTACAATGAAATACCATTTTCAACTATTAGATTTGCAGAAACCCAAAAACCTGATCTGCGGGAAAGCTGTGGGGAAAGGAGCACTCACACACGTCGTACAAGAGTATAAACTGACGGAAGTCGGACAAGGCCGATTCAACGACATTGACCGTAACTTTAAATTAATATACTCTTTAGTCTAACTACCTTTCCTAGCATACAGACAACTCACATGCAAACAGAATGGAAATCTATGGGGCCAGGAGGTGTGGAGGAGTAACACTGGACTCCCACATGGTCGACCATGGTTCGTATCCTGGACTTGGTGGCTTGAAACTCAGGCCGGGCGTGTGTACGTGCATGCCCAAAATCTTGAGAGGAGAAAAGAGAAGAGTGATTTCTCACTTCTGCTCTCTCTATTTCTCTCTCTTTCTCCAAGCACACGTGCCTTATAGCAAAAATACCCACCCCAGAAAAGGAGCTACGAAGTTATTTCCTGCAGTACTGTCTGCAGCAGCCACGGATGGTGGCTAACCTACATGTCTAACGGAAGGGGACTGAACAGATAAGTGGTGCATTCCAACATGATGCTGTGCAGCTGTTCAGAAAATAAGGACGCTTATCTTGGACCGACATGGAAAGAGTTCAAAAATTATACTGCTGAGCGCAAAAAGGGAAGTAGCCTATCAGCTGCCTAACAAGGAAGGGAGGGGCAGGGCCGGGCACAACCCTGGCACCTCCGGGTCCACACGGGAAAGGACCTCCCAGAGCAGGATCTGGGCTGACGGAGATCAGATGATGGCGGTGGGAAGACCCCAGGGAGAGCGCCCCTCTCGTAAAATAAATAAATGGGTAATGCTGACGCCCTGGGGTGGGGGAAGAGGCACAGGGCTGGGAGGGAGGTAACTGGTGTTAAACATTTGACCACATGAAGCTGGTTCAAAAATTAAATGAAGCACACACACGCACACGCGCACATGCACGCACCCGCACACACGCACACATCATATACACAAATGGAACCTGGAGTTGCAAAACAGTAAAAATAATTATTTTTGTCTATCAATCTTCCCTCAAAACTGCAAGTCCCAGTTGCGAGCTCGTACTTGTCTAGCTTCTCTTCTGCGTGGATTTTCAGGGCCTGATAGCGCTGTTCCTCTTGCCTGACTCTGGCGAGGTAATCCTGAGCGCATTTCTTCAAGGCTTCTTCATTCTGTTCCAAGACGACAATTTAAAATAAACAGATCATTTGTTTCCTACTAACAATATACATGCACGAGTTTTCAGGTTGTTTTTTTTTAACGGAAAAACCTTAACTAATTCAGATACCTTTCATTTATACTCCATGGTCATTAGAAACACGCATACACAGTCCTTGCTAAAGAAATTCGAGCTTCTTTCCTCACGGACTACAGTTCAACACTACACGCAATGTTCAGCCACACCAATATATTCAGAGTTAGATGGCATTTCCACAGCAGATAAATGTTGGTCTCACTTTAGTATGAGATTAAAGCATTCCACAGCTAGAAGTGTGTCTTACTGGTAGTGGACAACCAAATTAAATCAGTATGCCCACTTACATTTAAATCTGAAATAGTAAAGTTTAAATACCGAGTTTATTCCACAATATGCAGCCTGAAGTTGCCAGTGATATGGAACCCCTTATTTTACTAACATTAAAGAGGAGGTTACTGGGACCAGCAGATGGTGCAATGGTTACGTCGCTGGACTCCCACATGCTCAACACGGTTCGCGGCCCAGACCAGGTAGCTTAAACTCATGCCAGGTGCGTGTGCACGTGTGCCCCAAATCCCGAGAGGAGAATGGAGAAGGGCCGCAGTGTGGCCATGGTACTTCCTGTCACAGGCTGGTTTCGTCTATGGACTTCACTCAGCAGAGAAATGAACAAGACACGCCACCCACTGGGTCAGACATCTGAGCAAGCGCAGAGAAAAGGGAGTAAAACCAGCTTCCCTGGAACAGGCGATACGAGGCCGACAGGCCCTGAGCCCTCACAGAGAGGCACCCCCGCCCCCGCACGTGGTCCATGACCTGTTACCAAGGACACACGCTGGCAGGAGACAGAAGGGAAGGGCACGCTACCTTCTTGAACCCTTCCAGAACGCTTTTCAGGTTCTCGTATCTCCTGAAGAGATCAGAAAGAGACCTCTCCACAGAGTTCAGATCGGCCAGGGCCTGCTCCTTCTCCATGGTCAGCTGCTGGAAGCTCTTCTGAGACGTCATACTGGTCCTCTGTTCATCTTCTGGGAATCACAGGTCAAAAGTGACAGCACAATTATTGGACAGTAGCCGACGGCAGCTCTCCACGAGCCAAGCGGCGACCTGGGTGCTGAGGGCATGGAGGTTCTCTTCCCAAGGACTCACACTCTCGGGGGGAGACGGCCAGTGACGGGGATGGGGAAAGGACAAAGGAGGGCAGGAGGGACTGAGGGTGGCGTGTTATAGTGACCTCGCACATGGGACAGGTCCGAGCAGAGGCCCGAGAGAGGAGGGTGGGACCACACAGCTGCCCGGGAGGACAGTACAGTCCCCACCCCACCTGCGGCTTCGCATCCCTCAGGTTTCTCTGCCACTGAGGGTTTAGACAACGGTTTGCTCCCCAAAGGTTCATGTTCTGGAAAGGCTGTCCCCAGTGTAATGGCCTCAGGAGGTACTGAAGCAAGAGACTGAGTGAGTTCTAGCTGCTGTGAGAAAACGGATTGCTACAAAGTGCTTGTCCCCGGGTTGCTCTCTCTCCACGCATGCCTGCCATCCAGCCAGGACACGAGACCTGTCAATCTAAGTGACGGAAAAGTGGAACTGTTTCTAAGCCACCTTGTTTATGGTACTTCAATCCCGCAGCCCCTACAGACTGACAGGGCCAGCAGGTGGCGTGGCGGTTAAGGTGCTGGACTCCCACCTGGTGACTGCGGGTTAAGTCCTGGGCCTGGTGGCTTGCTTTCTCACTTCCCTATCTTTCTCTGTCTCTTCGGTGAGCACATGTACCCTATAACAAATTAAGAAATAATAATAAATTGGAACCAGCAGTTAGTGTAATGGCTATGTCGCTGGACTCCCATGCAGCCAACCATGGTTCAAGTCCCGGACCTGGTGGCTTAAACTCACGCCAGGCGCATGTGCATGCCCAAGATCCCAAGAGAAGAATGGAGGAGAAGGGATTGTGGTGTGGCCATCCTCCCTGGGGGGTGATTTCTCACTCTCTATCTCTCTGTCTGTCTTTCTGGTGAGCACACGCGCCCTATAGCAAAAACCTCTCCAAATAATAATAATAATAAAATAAATAAATAAGTAAATAATACTTAAAACATTTTTTTTCTCCTTACCAATCATTTGGGCAATGGTTTTTTCATACTCAGCCACGATTTTCCTAAATAAGGAAGAACAAAAAATTTATTGTCAGAGAATTTTCAGAAGTGAACGCTGGAGACCCAAACCACCAAACACATTCGCATACACACGTGTCTGCCTGAGGCCCCGTCTCCCTCGCCCACCTCCTGCCCTTCTTCTCCCCCTCTGCTCCTCTCCCTCTCTCATATTAAGCGAGGTTCTTTAGAGTTCAGAAGATTTTTCTTAAGGTTTTATGTTTGGCAGGCCTTTTACTCTGTCTGCAGGCATAACTGCCTTCATCTTTCCTCAGCGCCTACTTGAACACTTGGATGGAATAATTTGCTTAGACACATCGCTATTTTTTACAAAATTAAGTTAAAGACATTCTCTGTGGCTCTTCCTAAGAGGTCTCATCTGAGTTGGGGCTTTGCTGGTCTTAATCCACTCTCCAGGCACTCTAGCCCTGGGATTCAGATCTGAGTTTTGTTTCCTAATCCCAAAAGTATTTCACTCATTCAAAGACTTTAACCCTGTGGGGCTGGCCTTTCCTCAGTGAATGTGCAAGGTCTTCCTGACCCGGGCTGGCCCGGGTGTCTTCTCCGTCCACCCACAGAACTGATGACTGACCCCACCCTGTCGCTGCCATCAGACGCTGGTAGCGCTTCTCAGGAGGGCATGGTCCCTTCGCCCCCCAGCCCAATGTGGAGCGTTAAAACTTCCCTTCCCACCCATGCACCGACTGCACGGTGCATGGCCGGTGCTTTTTCCTTCTCTGCTGCAATTCTGTGTCATTTCACGGCTCATCTCTCTCCTTTCTAAGGAGCGAGCAGGAAAAATAAAAGATAGCAACTTAAAGTCAATCAATTTTGCTTCTTGTTATCATGCTTTTCATAATCTACTTGGTAGTGATATAATTTGAAGCTACTACGTACATTAATTTCTTAAAAGTAATACAAATTTCAGGGCCAGCAGGTGGCATGGTGGTTAAGGGTGCTGGACTCCCACACGGCCGATCATGGTTCAAGTCCCAAACCAGGCATTTCGCTTTCTCATTCCCCCCCCCCTCTCACTCTGTCCTTCTTTGGTCAAAATTAAAATATGCAATTTTCTTAAAAGTTAAATAAAATAATTCTTTTTAAAAAAGTGTTACAATTTCAATGTATCAGTAACTCTATCAATAAATCATACTACTCTGTATTCCAAGTGTTTTTGTTTTGTTTTGTTTTGTTTTTGTTTTTTGCCATAGGGTATGTACCTTCACCAGAAAGAGACAGAGAGGGAAAGTGAGAAATCACACCCCAGGGAATATGGCCATATGGCAATCCCTTCTCCATTTTCCTGAAGTTTTGGGCAAACACGCACAAAGCCTAGAGTGATTTTCAAGCTGCTTGGTTTGGGACGCAAGTGCAGTTGGCCACGTAGAATCCAGTACTGTAACCACAACGCCGCCTGCTGGCCCCCCAAGTGGATGTTTTTGTACAGATTTATGTTAACTTAATAAAAAGACTAGAATTGTGTGTGTTCTGCTTCCATGCGATGTTCTGAACACTGTGAGATTGTAGGCAAGTTCCAATATCTAAATGGAAGACCTCGTGCAATGACATCTCATCACAGAGCCCGAGGCACGGAGCCCGGCCCTCCAGCAGCTCAGGCTTGCTCCTCTGCGGAGTAAGCAAACACCCTCATCACCCCACCCAAGCCTCCAGCCCCTCCCCAGCCTTGCTCTCATCGCCCCACCCAAGCCTCCAGCCCCTCCCCAGCCTCCAATCTAACCTCATCTCCAAGACTTCTTGCCGGGTCTCTTCATATTTTTTCTTCCATTCATTTGCTTCAATCTCTTTAGTGATGATCTAGGTTATAATAAAGCTTGGTTTTACCTAAACAGTCTATGACACTTTGAATTCAAGACTGAAGACCGAGGACAATGCCCAGGTCTATCTCATCCACTCGGATTAGGCATATAAAACCTCAGCTCCACGTATCTAATGCTCATAAACCTTTGGAAGAGGGACTCTCAGCACACAGGACGCTAGAATGCAGCCACCAGGGGAGAGGTGAGCAGAACCTGGCCCGGGGATTTCAAGTGGCATTATCAGCTTCTATGACTTCTACCTTGGTCCAGGGCCTGGCTCCCAGCTCTGCCACCCCAGAGCCCTGCCTGGGGCAGGATCCAGAACAGAGCTCCTGACTATGGCTCACCAACCCAAGCCACAGAGCTGCACCAGATGCCAGACACGATGCCTTTACGGCAGGCAATCAGGGCACTAGAGGCTGGCATGGCCGGCACATCCTCCTTCTACGTGACGTGAACAGTCCAAACGAGGGGCTCAGCAGGGCGACTCTCGAACTGGTGTGTGTGGCCGTGGGTCCCGCCCTGTGGGCAGGACCTTGCCTCGTCAGACCAGAGCTGGTGCCGCTCTTGCTAACTCTGAGTTCCATGTGCTCTGGACCAGGCTGGCTGGGCACCCACTGCTCTCCCTGTACTGCACGTCCCTCTTCCTAACTCGGGCACTCTCTTTTGGGGCCTTCGAACAGGATCTCGAGAACCAGGAAGCCATCCGTCTGCTTCTGGGGACCAGGCACCTGGTTTTGATCAGTCAGGTGGTCATCTCACAGCTCAGCTCTCAGGAATATAAAGCCCTTTCTCTCATTTACGAGACGTTGGCAGGCCCTCTTAGTCTGTCCCCAAGTTTTGATGATAGAACTCGGTAACGTGCCTGATTACGAACCTGATGCTATTTCATAAAGCTTTAAACGACCTACAGCCAAGGTGCTCAACTACCCTCCTGACATGGTAACAAGAAAATTGCGACACCTTAAAAGAAAAAGGTAACTCATCAAAAAACCATAAACAAAACACATAAACTACAGGGTCTTCAAAAAACTTATAGGAAAAAACTATGCATGGATTTCAAATTTGTACCCAAAAAACTCATAATTTTATTCTATTTTTACACAAACTTTTTGAGGTCCCCTCACAGCACCTAACAATCTTTTATATTTTCAGATCACCCAGGAAAGGCCTTATAGTGATCTATTGTGAACAAAGGCTGTTCAAGAAACACAACCCAGTTGAATTCAAGAGCTGAACTGTTTAATTAAAGAATGGAGGGGACCAGCAGTTGGTGTAATGGCTATGTCACTGGACTTCCATGTTGTCAACCCCAGTTTGAGTCCCGGACCCCGGTGGCTTAAACTCACACCAGGCACGTGCGCGTGCGTGCCCAGGATCCCAAGAGGCAAATGGAGGAGAAGGGACTGCCACATGGCCATGCCCCCCCCCAGGGGGGGCGTGATTTCTCACTTTCTGTCTGTCTCTGTCTTTGGCGGGTAGAATGCCCCCAAGACAAAAAAACCACAAAAAAAAAAAAAAAAAAAAAGAATGGAGGAAAGCAGGAAACAACTGTATGTTACTAGAAGACTTAGGGAGTTTCTAGGCATGAGCACTGTCCTCTGTAAAGTGAAGTGAATGACTGAGTGAAAAGTGAGCAGAGGTGGCAAACGCAGATATTTAAATCTTCAAGGCTGAAGGCTAAAGAGGGAGCCAACGTTCTTAAGGACAGTCCAGTGGTCAGCGTCTTTCCCCGGCCGCCAGAATGTCTGGACGCCAGCACCGAAGCAGAGTTTCACAGGGACCCCTTTATGGGAGCCAAGAAAGCTGCAGGAAATGAGGTCTTCCGCCAGGATAACTCAGGCCAGCAGAGGTGGACCCTGCCTGCCAGCACACGGGTTTTACAAAGGAGCGGCAGGCAGACAGAAGGAGCACACTCACCTCTTCTCGGATCAGGGTGAGCACCGCTGTCTTATCGGACTCGCTGAGGCAGATGCCATCCAGGGGGCTCTCACCTCCACAGGCCACGGACACAGGGGCCTTCTCTGAAGAGACTTCCAACAGGCCCTGTGGGGGCAGGGGTTCCATTTAATGTGCTTACCCCCAGATGTCCTTCAATAACAAGCTCATTACTACACTGATCAGACCCTTTGAAGATACAGTTGAAGACAAACCCTACAGGGACGAAGCTTTAAAAACAACAACAAAAAACAAAAAACAAATTATAGTATGGGTTGAGAATTCCTTCTCCAAAATGCTTGAAATCAGAAGTGTTTCAAATTTGGGATTTGTTTCAGATTTTGGAATATTTGCTTAGATATGAGATAAATCTTGAGAGGGAACTCAGACGTGAATGCACGATTCATTTCTGTCCCATACATATCTCGGATGGACAGCGTGGTGGTGGCTTTTATGCTGTTTCTGCATTGCAGCATTCTGACCAGGATCCGTCATATCAGGTCAGGTGGAGAATTTTCCACTTGGGCATGACATCAGCACTGAAAAGATGGCATTTTAGAGAATTTCGGATTTGGGATTTTCAGATTAAGGATGCTCAAGTCTGGATTACCTAAAGGAAACTGGTACAAAGCTGATCAAGGTAGTCTTAGCTTCCCTTGAACAGATAACCAAGTTTTCTTCTTACCCCAAAGGGAGAAAGCATTCTTACGGGAGTGGCCAGTCACACAGAATCACGTGCATAAAGGAGAAAGACCCAGGGTTCATGTCTCATTTTCCTGGACGTTTCTGGGGATGATGTGTTTTGTGTAAATAATCTTTCAAAAACAGTGACAGCTGTTCTGTTCACATACTGATTTTTTAAATGTATCTCTGTTTGGTTCCTCTGGGTAGACATGTTTTAGAATGTACGGCTAAGTTCAGGCCCTGGGAGGCATGGCAAATACATGTGAGTTCTGACTCATGTCCTTCCACCCGAACTTCAGTATCTCTGCAGTGACCTCTGCTGGAAGCCAGTGGTGCCGTCAGGGATATTCCACTGTGTGCCCTCTTTCAAAATGGCTGCACACACGTCAAGCTCTGGGCCGGTGTTTTTTGTTCTTCCTTGCTCTGACGTCTCCGGATCCCTAATGGTGGCACTTCACCTTGTGAGGTGCCAGCTCCCTCCCACCGTAACCTTGGGTTCCAGAGAATGCACGTGACGAGCACTGTTTTTCACAGAACATGGACTTCGTACTGTTTTCCTTCCTGAAAAGCATTTTTGGAGGCTATTTCCACCCACCTAGGTGAGTACACTTTTGTAAAAGTGTGTGATCTAATGTTTGGGAACTTGTAAGTTCTGTAGCTGCAGACAAGCTGTGTCCGCTGGCCATACCGGTCCCCGGCATCCCTCTGCTGTCACCGCATGCTGCAACACCAGCGCGTGCCTGTAACACGGGGAACCTGCAGAAGGACCTGGGTCCCACAGTGCACGACCAGGCTGCTTGGTCCCGGAGCAGTGAACACGCAGTGTGCATGCCGTGAAGTGCCGTGTGTCTGAGTGCCAACGTGCAGTGCATTTTCACTGCGGATCACAGCAGAGTGTCTCCATCATGACTTCACCGGCTCGCATGACTATGCCTATGTCCTAAGGGCCCTACGTCTAGTAAGGCCAACCCGGACTTTTCAAGAGTGCACACCACATCCTCGGACACGTGGACTCAGAAACTGGTGCCCGTGCATTGCAAGACCACACATGTACAAGCGAACGTCTACAATCCCGCTCCTCCTTCTGTATGCCCAATCTACTGCCTCCCAGACATGGCAATATTCATGGGGGGGCTCAGTCATGGGCTTGTGGCTGCAGCACAACACACCGCAGGGCTGGACCCCACACAGGAACTCGGGGTGTCAGAGTCAGGGCAGACAAAGATGGAGGCAGGGTCACAGGTTAAAGGACCGGCAGGGCATCATGGCTAAATGCAATGTGGGATCCTGCACCGCATCGCGCACCAGAGAAAGGGAGATGGTGGGACGTCCCATCAGGGGCATGGCCACAGCGGAGCACGGCTTAGACGACAGCACCGCATCCGTGTGGCGAGTCTGTGATTCTGACAACGTTAACGTGTTACATAAAATGCTAATATCTGAGGGATATGGGTGAAAGGTAGACAGGGATTGTGCTATTTTTATAAGTCTAAAACCAGTTAAAAATATTTTTTAAATTATATTAAATTAATGCTGGCTGATATCCAGCCTTCCCAACACCGGTTACGGAGGGGTCAGCTCCAGCTCCCACGGCCCCTGCAGCATGTTCTAGTACAACCCTCACCTCATGGTATTGTCGGTTTGCACGGGTATCTACTGCCAGTACTGCTCAACAGAAATACACTGAGGCTGTATGTCATTTAAGAGCTCTTAGTAGCAGGCCAGAGGTGGCGTGGTACTTAAGGTGCTAGACTTCCACATGGCTGATCATGGTTTGAGTCCCAGACCTGGGGCTTGCTTTCTTA